GGGGGGGGGGGGATAAAATCAATTTGGAGTGGAGAAGAGACAAAAAGTCCACAATCCTATATCGAACTGAGGTAGGATGAGAATGCTAGTGAGCTTTTGAGAAATGTCATAAGAACCCGAAAAACCCACAACAACCATTAGATCCCGGACATGAAAGCCTTTGCAAATACATTTAACGCCTCTACGGGGAGGAAACAATCAGACAGACCCGGAGACTGGAAACACTACAAAGCAAAAAAGCACACCTATTCCCTGAGTGCTCACTGGAAGCTAGATAGTCACTGGCAGGTCCTCACATCCCTTCATTTTACTTACATCAGGGAAATAATGCTGACCTATCTGACCAAGATACTAGAGGATTCTGTGCAGGTGAAGTGCTTTGAATTCTTTGGCAGTGTTATAAATCTAAGACAATCTCCAAGAATTATGTTTCTTGTGGAGACTCCCGTTATTACAGGTATTCAGACAACGTGTGATCTTTCCTTCTGCAACATCTCTATTTTTTTTTTTTTTTTTTTTTGCTTCCCTGTCCCCTTTGCAGATGTTGTTTGTTCTTCACATTCATAATAGCTTCCTAGACGATCTGTTCCCTGGCACTTTTCCTCTTTGTCCTGCCTTTCACTCCCCGCACTTTGCTAATTTTTGGTGCCATTTTTCCTTGGTTCCTCTAACAGCTGTTTATTTGTCATTTGCTGTTTGAATCTAATTACTGCCTTTGCCTTCTCGTTCTGGAGTTAACCTCTCTCAACACCATTCTGTTCATGATGAGCCCCATATTAACCAAGAGGCTTGGAAGAAAATTTGCATTGGGCATTCAGAAGAGATGAAATGCAATCCTAGTTAATGGCAAATTATGCATCCTGTGTTATGTAGCTATTAATACAAGTGGTGTTACAGAATATTCAAATTCATGACAGTCTTTAAAGAACATACTTGCCAATTAGTGCTTTTACTGGAATCCTTATTTTTATCATTTAGACATATAACTTCTAATTGGGATCAGCTATTCCTTAGGGAGAAACATGTTTAATAAATAAGTGAATAAATTAAGTCACCACAGCAATGAGAGGAGTGAAGAGAAAGGGGCGGCTTTACAGATCTTGCCTCTCTTAAATTCATCCAATTATTGAGAAACACCATTTCTGTGAGTGTGATGGTGTCTTGTGATGGCGGTACAGTCAGACGATTGGGTTTGTTTGTTAAAGCAAGAAGCTCATTATACATAATTAAGACAGAAGAAACTGGGTATTAAATTTTCATAATGCACTGTCAGTGACACAGTTATACCAAATTGCAAAAATTCAGCACCACCACTAAATTGGCACATTGGTCCATGGGTGTGGAATGTAATTAACCAAGCAACCCTATAAAAACCTTCCTAGCAGTAAGGACCCTGGAGCTCTTACTTATGAGTAAGAGGACTGCACTTTTTTCATAAGGATTCTGGTGGAGTCATTGTAGCTGTGTTTCAATTAAAGAGAGAGAAAGAGAGAAAGAAAATACTAATAAAGATGCTCTGGAAAAGTCAGATCTCACCAGTACTAATTTATCTAATTGTTAAATAAATTGCCACTTATGCATTGGGCACTCAGTCACTCTTTGGAAGGATAGTGTTTCATTGGTGCTATTACAGGTAAGTACAAAAAAAGCTACTTGTGCCATTTTCAGACCAAGTTTTCTTATTATAACGTGTTGCTATCCATCTTTCTCCTCCAGCTCTTACTCGAGGAGGCTTAGCCAGCATTTGCAAGAGCTAGTTCATACTGGCCTGCAAGTACTGGCTAAGAGAGTTCCACCCCTCTTTCTCCTTTATCACATACGTGGGCTATTCTTTACACACAAAACTTGGGACATTACATTGAACCTTGTTGGAAGAGATACTGGACAGAATCCTACTGGTGTAAATTTATGCCACAGAAGCCAATGACATCATCTTCTGGGTACAGAAAATTTAAGTGAATTGAAAGCTTCCTATTCCCCCTTTATTTCATATACTGACTGTTATTTCAGAATGGAAGGGGAAGGTCTCTTTGGCCATGGGCTCTTTTCTTCTCTTTCCTTTAACCTCATACCAGATAGTTCAATTTTTGTGACTCAATTATTCTAAAATGTAAGAGCCTTGATACACCATCTCCATCTAGATGCTCTAGAGAAATCCTCTTATTAAAAAGTGCCTAAATATTATCTCCACATCCAACTTGTTTCCAGTAATTTAAGGCACAGTAGTGTGGCTTGAATGTAAAACTAAATTTATGAAAGCAAGTTTTATGCCGTTTAAACTTAAAAGAAGATGCCAAGAAGAGGGGGAGGAAGGAAACTGAGATTTTTTGCTCCAGGTGATATGCCAGCAGGACTCCTAAAAATGTATAAAGTTCCAAGAATCCTTTGTTTTCAGCTATTTCAAAGTAAAGATGGTCGTATGTTGTCAAGGGAGAAAAGAAGAGGCAAGGAACAACAAACATGTTACTGCATGGCAACCAATTTCTAACTTGAGAGTGTTGTGAATTTTCTGGATGCAACTACTTCATAAATAAAACTCAGATGCACCAGATAATATCTATGGAGATTTATCAAACTGCAGCAACTCACCTCCAAAGGTTACATCTTTTGAGCAACAGGATTTCAATCATAGAATTATGAAAAAAAAATCATTGTGTTGGAAAGGGTGGCTCTCAGGGTCATCTATTCTAAACGCTGCCAAAACAGAACGGCCACTTTTAAAGCTTCTCTGAAATATGACCACTCAAACCTTGTTGAAAACCTTCTATGAAGGGAGAAAAATTGTTGCCTGTGAAGTTGGTTCATTTCACATCTCCCACTTCTATGAAATCTAGAATTGGAATGGACAGGGTTAAAGACTAAGGTGTCTCTGGTTTGAACTAGATAGTCATAATAACTGAAAATTTCAATGAGCTAGGGTAAGTTCATTGAACACTTTGCAACCAAAGGATAAAGGGATCAGAACTGGGAGGGTTGTGCAAGGCAGGAATGTCCAACGTTGCTTGCAAATGTTACTGTGATGTGCCACTAAGTCACTAACAAGTCACGGCAATCTTGTAGGGTTTTTGTGATATGTAGGAGGTTTAAAGCATAGATATGGGCACTTGCCATGGTTCTGTGGTTCAGCACAGTGCAGAGGATCGGGGCTGTAGGTACTGTGGGGATGCCCCGGATTCTGTGCCCCACCTCCTCCCATGGGTGCCCCATCAAAAGGCGCAATGTGGACTTCCTTGCCCCACCTCCTCCTCTTAGTGGGCATCCACAGGAAGAGACAGAGAGCAGAAACTGAGGCACTGCACAACACCTGTGGCCCCAATCCTCCATACAATGCTGAACCACTGAACTGTGGTACGTACCCATCTCTATCAAGGAGTGGTTTACCACTGTCATCCACCAGTGAGTTTCCATGGCCTAGTGGGGACTTTAACACAAGTGTCCTGAGCCCTAGTCCAACATTCTATCCACAACCCCACATGGGCTCCCAACTTGGAATGAGAATATCGATTTCAGTTTGAAAAGATACAGATATGTAACCCTTGGGTCCACACCAAGGCCTGATTTTAATGTCTAGGGATACATTTAACTCAAGGTCCCCAATTTTGGGATCTCAGTAGCCATCTTCCATTAACACACACAATAGTCCCAAACACAAAACCTTGTCCCAAAATCCAGCTAACGTGAGGAAGCTCTAAGTCCTTGCTCACCACCAGCTCAAAGCAGTAGTAGGCTCTTGTCTTGGTAGGCATCAAAAAGGTCATGTCATCAGGTGTACTGGTTTAGCAGCCTCCAGGTGTATCACAGAAGAGGGCTCCAGGAGGTGTACCAGGAAATATGCAGCAATGAGGGTATGACTCAGACAAGAATCTCCAGCAGGTGAATCTTCAGCTCTGAGCCAGTAAGAGTTATCAAGCTAAGAGTGGTTTCAAAACAAAGTAATCTCAGTTGACTGATTTTAGTACCAAGGCAATTTTTAATTTCAATTCAATCTTTTCTGTTCATCACAGTAGGGAAAAGAGGAGCCTTCACTCCTCTGACGACTTTCCTTGCATGACGCCTGTGCTCCACAGACCAGTCAAAATGCTGGACAACTCAGCCATACTGTTACAGGGCAGACACTCTGGCACAAAGGTGCAAGTGACCTAACCTTATCTTGCTCTTTAACTTAATCCCATTCAGTGCAATAAAACATAACAACTCTGTGTCATACATATGCTGTGAAGGTTCCTCCTGCACTTTCTACTACCACAACTTGGTAGAATGTGTCCTACAGCATTATTCTTAGGGAGAATAGAAGACACAAGAGCAGCTTTGGATATTACTGAAGACGTTCCAGGGCAAGCAACTTAAAACCTGTGGGTTGTATGCCACTTTTGGATTCCACCTTCCCCTGTGACCACAACACTAAATTTGATGCTGAATTTCACATCTACACACAGACATTCATTTCAAACCTGGTGGATGTGGATCCTATGCCATGTTTTGAACCTAACTTAACACCCTCAGAAATCTCCCAAAATCATATTGGTTTTAAAACAATTTGTGTGTTCCCTGCATGCCTTGTACGGATGTGAAATTACAAAAGCTTGTTGGCACAGTGGTAGCACGAGGGTGACAGTGTGCTCTCTCAACCCACAGAAGCTGCCCACTCATAAACAAACACATGCACAGTCATATGGGAGTGACAAGGGTGCATGAGCTGCATATAGCTCCAAATGAAGCAAATACATAAATAAAGAACTGTATGTTTCTCTTCCATATGTTGTTCAAAGAGTTACCAAGACCTGTTTTAAAACAATTAGAGAGAAGGTACACTGCAGATTGCTTTGATTAGCAAAGGACTTTTTTTTCTCTTTATAAGACTATAGATGCATCAGTAAATGAAAGGAAGGCAGAGGAGTCAAATCCAAATGACACAACATATAGCTTATCTGCAGCACATTGTTCAGCTTTTGAACCTGTACTATGCAACAATGAAAGGATACATTATAGAATAGTGGTACCCAACCTTGGGTAACTTGGGTGTTCTTGGCAGTGCAACTCCCAGAAGCCTTCACCATTAGCTCTGCTGGTCATGGTTTCTGGGAGTACAGTCAATTAAAAGTATGTTGCATATATACCACCCCATAGCACTTAAAGCACTCTCTGGGTGGATTACAAGTTAATTATGCAGTCTACACATTGCCACTCTCCCTCCGCCCCAGCAAGCTGGGTACTCATTTTACAGACCTTGGAAGGATAGAAGGCTGAGTCAACCTTGAGCCAGCTACCTGGGATTGAACCCCACGTTGTGAGCAGAGTTTTGGCTGCAGTGCAGCAGTTTAACCACTGCACCACGAGGCTCTTATCACCTGGTTTGCCCAAGCTTGGCAACCACTGCTATAGAATAAGAGGGCAATAATACCACCTTATTTTGCTATGGTTAGCTATGTCCAATTCTGGACGCTGTTGTTGGCAAGTAGAAGTGTGTCTAAAGAAAAGTAATCATGAAGGCAAAGACTCTGGAACAGCTGAAGGATCTGGGTATACTTGTTGTTCTGTGTCCTCACATCAGAAATGACTTATAGTGACTCCAATAGGGATTTCAAATAAGACATTTAAGGAATGGTTTTACCAGTTCCACTCCTGTGAGTTTCCATGAATGAGAAGGGATTTGAACCCTGTTCTCCAGAGTCATAGTCCATCACTCTATCCACTACACCACACTAGAGATTTTTGGCTATACTTAGACTGAAAGAAAGAATGCAGAAGAATGAAGCCGCCTTCTTTATTTTATTCATTCATCTTTTTTAAAAAAATTCAAAAATAACGCTACTAAGCTACAATTTCAGAGCTGAACAATAATTAAGTTAAACAAGATCACCAATGAACATGAAGCTATCCTCAAATATGAGAATGTCAAGTAGCATATGAGGAAACTAATTTTCTGCTACTCCAAATATACAGATCCACAGGAGATTTTAACTAAACATGATCTCTCCTGGTTTTGAACCTGATGCAGAAAATTCACCTATTCCACCAGTGGAACTGAGGTTAGGAATAGAATAAAAAAAGAAAATAGTGGACAATTTGCAAACACCTGGGAGGCATTTTGGACCTTGGAGGGCTGCATATTTCCTCCAATATCATTGATCTCTCTCTCTCTCTCTCTCTCACACACACACACAGAGAGAGAGAGAGAGAGAGAGAGAGAGAGAGAGAGAGAGACTTTTAAAATGTATCTCCTGGCATCTGCTTTGTGCAATTTGTCCTATACAACACATTTGCCTACTGTTCCTGTTTTAAGCCTTAGAAGCCTTTTTAAAGAAACAGTCAGTAAATGAACAACCAAACAGAGCTATAGAAATCAAGGAGCACTCAGGGCAAATGCTTCTTGGTGGGAGGAGTGTTGTCTTTTGGCCCTAAAACATTTTTCCTGCTGTTTGTGGGTTTAGAGCTTCCAAAGGGGCATAGAGAACCTTGGAGACTCCACTGGGATACATGCAGTCACAGGGAGCCCAGTGAGGCCTCCAAGCCTCCCCACCACCCTCTGGCTACCACTCAAATAAACAATGATTGTCCCAAACAAGTAGCCAATTGCATGAAATCGTCATCTGGTACAACTCTTAGTTTTATTGCACTTGATCAACTCCAAAACTGAAGTGGAAGAGGTGGCAAAGATTTGTAAATGTAAGGCACACTTCCTTGGATGAAGGTGCACTTCCAGAGCCCTAGTAAAAGGAGCATTTCATCTCAGCTCAATCCTAGCTCAAGAAAAATGGCAGAATGATGGACAAATGACAGAAATCCACCAGAACGGAACATCAAGCCTTGCAGGATTGTCATAAGAAGGGTGAACCAAGACACTTGTCATGCAGTTCCTTCTGTCATGTTCATTTAGCTGTTCCTTGTTTGTTCACAACCAAACATTAACACATTGTTCACAAAAAGCAAAGGAGGTAAGACAAGTTGGCCTACCTTTCTCTAAAATAACTGCAGACTAGTCTGTGAGCTCGAGTTCTAGATTCTCAACCCTGCACAGCACAATACTAAGCCTCTGCAATAAGGGCATGCTAATGAAAGCCTGCGTAATGAATCAGTGGATTACACTGGAAGGTGTAATCAGCACACTAGGAGTGGTTTCTGGGCTTTTATTCAGTATATGTGGGAGGCAAAATGTTTCTTCCAGTGGTGCGCAATGTTTTCCACAGTGGGTGTGTGCAATGTGTTGTAGGAAACAGGTTCGGTGATTTTATTTTTTGTTTAAATTGCCTTAGTTTAGTTGATGGCAATGAGGCATTTCTTTTTAACAGACACTGGTTATTAACATAAATGAGCCCAGCGATAATCACTACTGGACACCTTTAGAAGTATCCATTAATAATAGGCAACAAAGAGGGAGAGGGCAAAACATCAAAACCAATGCTTTTTGGTCGAGGACAGAACTGGCTCTTATTCATTTTACTCAGTAATTTTCTTTACAAATGTGCATCCTGCTTCTCTTAAAGAGCTGAACAAAGCCAGCCTTATTAAAAAAGGTATGCACCACAACAACAAATGGCCAATTTACTTGCAGAAGGTACCATCTATTTTTTTTTCTGTATGTAATTGGGAACCAGTACTATATATATGTCCCAAAATAGGCCAGCAATAGCTTTGTAGCAACAACCATTTACTCCTAGGTTCTGGTTTATTTTGGATGGTTATCCATACAATGTATTTATTCTGTAAGTCTTAGCAGGATATGCTTTGTACTCACACTCACTGGCTGTCTCTCCTCTGGTGCAGGGGAACTTAATTCTACCATCCTGACATTTTCCCTGGTTCTGAAGATCTTTGCAAAAGAGATGTGTTTTGTCTTACAAGCCTTTGTTGGAAAAATAAAGATTTGAGATGAAATATAAATACTGTAATAATCTTTATCTAATTCACTTAGGAAAAGGGTAAACAGGACATCCTAAGAAAACAATAAAACTTCATAACAAAAACATACTAAACAGTAAAAGGAATTAAGGCATTGACAGTTCAGGCAACGCCCACAAACTCAGGCAAGGACACAAGATCTCTGTCTTGCTTGGTCAATCAGCACCATTGAAGGTGAAGGGGAGGGAGAGAGAGACAAAGCTTTATAGAGCCTCGTTATTATAAGGGACAGGTGAGGGCTTTAAGGATATTAACCCACAGTGGGTAGAATGTTATATCTTTCAATATACCAACACCCGTTCTCAAAATCTAGCATGACTACATTTGAGCTACATAATCAATAACATCAACCATGATCAATTCTGTCGGTATTTACATCAAACATATTTAACATTTCATGAAGATTTGCACATTTGTCTTGTAGAGATTGATATTCTTCTTCCATGGCTTCTATCCATTTTTCTCTCTCTGAATAAGATAATTTACTGACCTCTTTCCAGTTTGCTGGTTACTTTATTATATGCAGGTTTTCACAGAATCCATATCTTTCTGGAGGTTTGCTTTTTATTAATCCTCTCTGATCGTCTTACAGAAGTTGCTGTTTCTGTTTCATTTGGTCCAGTTTCTGCTTACCCTTCTATTCTGATAACATCCTCAGAAGATGGACCTGTGGTCTCTGCAGGTAACCAATTAACCAATTCTTGTGAAACAGTCTCTATATTCTGTAGATCAAATGCCACTATAGATCCATGTATCTGTTGCTTTTTAAGTTTTTCATCTACATATACAACATTACAATATTTAATTTCAAAAGTCTCAGGGTTCAAAATTCTGTACCCTTTCCCTCCAATGGGATACCCAACAATAATTCCAATTTCAGCTTGAGGTTCAAGTTTTCCTCTCTTTTCTTTTGGGATGTGTGTATATGCTTTAGCGCCAAAAGCTTTTATATGCTTTAAACCAGGTCTCTTTCCAAACCATAATTCAAAAGGTGCTTTATCCGTAACTCTACTAGGAACTCTGTTATGCAAATAAACTGCTGTAACTACTGCTTTAGCCCACAAAGAATTTGGTAATCCACCTTACATTAACATAGATCTAGACATCTTCTGCAATGTATGGTTCAGTTTTTCAGAACATCCATTTTGTTGTGGGGAATGGAATATGGTTACTTTAAGTTCTATACCTTCCTGTTCCAAAAATCTCCTGAAATATGCATTACAATATTCTCCACCATCAGTACATAATGCTAGGGGTGCTTTACCAAATCTATTTTTAATTGCAGCTATATACCATTTGAACTTCTAAAGAGTCTCATTTTTACTTTTTAGTACATATATATAAGTATATATACTTTTAGATTCAATGAAGGTAATAAAATATCTATTTTTGCCTGTGGATAATGGCATGGGACTCACTAAATCTGAATAGACCTCTTTCAGAAACTCTTTATCCTGTATATTATTTTGTCCTCTATAACTGGGAGCAGTTCCCTTTGCTTTTATACAAATTTAACATGTTTCTTTTGACTTATCATGTTTAGAAGCATCAATTCCACATTCTGTCAATATTTTTTCAATACTTTGCATGTTTCTATGTGTCAGTTTTACATGCCATGAATAAAGACAAGTTTTATAATCACAAGTATCTTGCCTAATTTGACCTACAGATCTTCCTTCATCTACTACAGTATTTAAATCACCACTAACATCAACTAGATAATGGAAACCATCATTTTCATCAACCTTAAGTACTAGACCAGTTGTATCATTGATAACTTTTCCTGCGTTGCCTTTAAGTATTACAGTAGAATCATTCCTTACAATCCTTTTAGTGGCAAGTAAATTGTTTGAGGCTTCAGGAAAAAAGCAGCATTTGTTAATGTAATGTTCACCACCTCATTTTGAGAACCTTTAAAGGTATTGTTCCTGTTCCAAGCATATTTAATCTTTGCTAGTCTGCTTGTAATATCTTTGGTCTGTTCTCTGTATCAAGTTGACTGAAGCTTTCTCGAAATCGACAAATATGTATGAAACTGCCACTATCAAGAAGGAAATGTATCTTGTCATTCACACCTTGATATTCAGATATTTGGAACACTTGGTTATTATTGTGAGCATTTTTGCCATCATTGGATCATCATTTGCTTGTATCTTATACTTGATATGTCTTGTGGTGGTCTGAAAATTCCATGACTGCTAAAATGTCCTCGGGCACTAGGGGCCATTCTTTCAATAGAAACACTTGCACCTCTGGATAGTTGAGCTACTGCATCTTTAAATCTGCAATATTTGGCAATGTGAACACATATAACATCACCTTTCTTTAGGATCAGGTCTCATTCTTAATACTGTACAGGCATTTTTTTCAGGCATGTTATCTATTGCCCTTTTAAGTCCAGAGTCTCTCAAATAGGTAATTGTATAATCCAGGTCCACCTTTGCAGTACACTCAAGATTTGCAAAAGATTGTGGTAAGCTGAGTAATAACCAAGTATGGAACTCAGAATCAGATATTTCTGCCCCTGTAGATTGAAGCTCAGACAAATTCCAACATTTCATCCAAATGGTAATCAATGCTAGTTACTTCTTTCATTCTCATGGTGTATAATATTTCCTTCAAAAATATTACATTCTTACTTGATCTAGTGAAGTATTTTCTTTTTAAGAGCACCATATAGTCCTTTAGCTGTTCTATACTTAGTTACTAATGGAGTCTCATGGTCTTCTATACAAGAGTATAATATCATTAAAGCCTTTGCTTTTTTATTTTATATTCATTCTGTGCTGGCTACTTTCAGGTATATCTTGGTTTATAACATTTAAACACTCCTATACTTAGTCTTGCATCCCACATTTGAAAAATGTTCTGAATCAGCTTTGATATTGCAAATATGCCACTGCTGTTACTTACACCCAGCTGAAAACGTTGAGTGGATGTATTAGCTTCTGGAATAGTAGTAGGAACTGCAGACACCTTGATACTAATAAATGTTGTCTTCTAATAAGGCGAAAGTTAAATTCTCTTTTCCTCTTCACTTTCAGTTTACTGAAGATTTGACTGCATATAAAAATTGCTCTGTTACTTTAAAAATGTTTTACAGTCTCCTATCAACTCAAAAATTTACTCCCTTTAGTCAGAGGCAAACACAACACATTCCCCAATTTGAAATGAAAGGAATGTTTGTCAAAAGCAGTCTGTTCAACTATCTGAACTCCAAAAAGAGAAAGTAAAAAAGTTCAAACACAGCAGCAGCTTTCAGTGTCTCAAATATAGCTGTCAAAATACAACCATCCTCTGCTACCAAATTTGTTGGGGGGAAAAAAGATTTCAGACACTGAAAAAAATATAAATAATAATCTTTATCTAGTTCTCTTAGTGAAAGGGTAAACAGAACATCCTAAGAAAACAATAAAACTACTACTAAAACATAACAAAAACATACTAAACAGTAAAAGGAATTAAGGCGGTGACTGTACTCAAAGAGGCCTATGACAGATGTTTACGAAGCAAATAAAAATGTGCAGGGAAGGGTAGCTAACATTTGAAGATTTCATAGACTTCCCTGGGATCTTGCAGCAACAAAAGCACCTTATAAGATGGTGGGGTTTCAAAGCCCAATGATAATGCAAGTGAGCTATGTGCCTCTTAGTGAAGTCCTATGCATGTTTGCTCAGGACCTCAGGTAAGTCCAATCGAGCTTATTCCAGGAACGCTGGATGCAGTCTCAGCTACTGTCCTGGATGTATCTGTTAAGGTTTCCAACTCTGTATACACCTGTATAGTAGTAAATTCCCTCTGACCTATGAATAGATGTAAGTATTGTGCTTCCTTGCAGATGATATAATGGTAGGGGGTTGTTGTTGTTTTGTGGGGGGAGGATGAGCTGACTGTATAAATCTCTTTCCTGAAACTGTTGTAAGGCTTACCATGATGTCTGATGTAACAGATTCCTATGATTTTACTTTAGAACAACATGCACAGAGTTGCTAGTAGAGGTCTCAAACAGGTAGCTAGCTGTTTATTAAGTTCAAGAGGCCCAGGATGAAAAGTGACTCTGTAATCAGACAGCAATTGTTTCATTTGACAATGAGAGTCTGTGCAAGGCATTCTGAAACTAACAATTTCCTACAAAATATTTGTATGGTATACAAGAGCATAAGGTAAAGGTTCCCCTTGACATTTAGTCAAGTTGTGTCCGACTCTAGGGGGCAGTTCTCACCCCCATTTCCAAGCTGTAGAGCCAGCATTTGACCATAGACAGTTTCCGTGGTCACGTGGCTTAGGTTTTCACACACAGAGAGAGAGACTTTGTGGATAAGAGTTCTGCTTATATGTTACAGACTAATCTCCCCCAAAAAAGGGTGTGGAGTGAGTGGGAAAGTGAAAATACACACAAATTAAAGTGTGGGGTTAGGACAGCTCTGTAGTTTCCTTCAGCTTATTCTAGCTCTTTACATATTGTTTGGTTAACATATGAAAGCTGTCCAGTTCTTCACATTTAGAGACTGGAATTAGCAAGCACATGATTATGGCTCCCTCCCCGCAAAACATTGGGAATTATTTACAAATAGAGAAATACATCAGTAGTGGAGGATCCCAACTTAAATACTCCAAAAAGATACGTGTCCAGGGTCCTATATCAATTCTCAAAATGGCAACAACAACAAAAAGTCCTTTCCCACCCATTCTGCTTACAGTTTCATGTCAAGTTCTTGATTGTTGTTCCAAAGGCTTTCATTGGTCTACCTAGCTTTCATCCCCCTTGGTGGAAAATGAGGTAGGCTACCTTGTACAATGATGTGTCTCATTTAGAACATGCAAAGAAGATCAGGGTATTTCTTACTATTAATTTCAATAAAGTAAGGTCTGTTTCAGCACGTATAGCATAAAAGACAGACAAATTTCTTTCAGTGTGAGTTTTTTGTGGAATGCAATCCACTTCCTCAGACACATGAAGCCTAATAGTTAATCAGACTTGCAAAGAAAGAACATGCTTATGTACTAGAAAGAAAGAAAGAAAGAAAGAAAGAAAGAAAGAAAGAAAGAAAGAAAGAAAAACTAATTTGAAAATTGTGGTAGATGAGAAAAATTTACAGCTGTGGCTATCCTGCAGAATCAGTACTTAAACAGCCCCCTCCTATTAGTTGAAGGTTAGCAAT